CTGGCACCCAGTCTGGGTGCTGTTCTTCATTAGCTTCCTTTTTTCCATCAAAGCCCTCCGTCTGCATTACAGAGATTGATGATGTTTGACCAGCAAAGGTAGCCCTGATAATAGCAACGGGCTCGGTCCTGACTTTGTCAGATCCCTGGTACCTGCACCTGAGCCTACAGGCAAATTAACCCAGGCCTCTGGACAGCTTTCTTTTCTAAAAAAAAACTTTGAAGACAGTTATACACAAGCCCCCTCACTCCCTCACCAACCCCAAAGGCACACAGTTCTCTGCAGAGGCTCCAATAGGAGCAGGGAGAAAAAAAGCTCTGCTTTGAGCAGCCTGGCTTCTTCCCAAGCTAAACACGCTGATGTAAATCTGTCTCCATTACTGCCCTAGCCTGTACAGGGCCAGGGCACCCAGCTTTTCCAGAGTTAAGCACTGTTTACCCACTGTCAAGTGGGTATTTCCCAGTCTGCCTGTCCTCCTCCTGTGGAGGTTGGCTGCTACCACCCTACCCCCCACCCAGGCAACCAAATGTGGCATCAAAGGAGCCTCCAGAGTGGCCATCTGTCCCTGCCACACCAATGTTTATGCAACATGAACAGGAGAAGGGGTGGGCTTGAGGGAGGCTGCAGGGTGTCCAGCTGTAGCAGCACCAGGCACCAACATCCCAGGCCCTATGCACCCCAGGATAAGATGGTCAGAGTCTGCTACTTCTTACAGAGGAGGAGAAAAACACACATTTAGTAAACCAGCTTAGGGGAGCAGCTAACACTCAGACCCCTAATTCTGCAGTTTTCTTCAGTATTATTTGTCTGGCAAAAAGCCACACAGTAACAACATGATGACTGAACCAATAATGGCTTGACAAATTCACTGAAGGCTAGGAAAAACCGGATGGGCTACTGCAGAAAAGATACAGATAAGAAATTAACCTGAAAGTCTGAATTCTCCAGCTAATTTGATAAGATACCATCACTGAAACACCTCCTGCCTCCCAGAACCAAAAGACAATTTGCGTGGGAACACTCCTAGGTTGGAAAGTCAGAAAAACACAGCTCTAATCCAGAGTTCCTCCACCCTGCCCCACCCATAATGTTGTGGCTTGCATCAAGCATCAAGTCACGTGGGTTCAATCCATGGGACTGCAACTGGGGATGTGCACATGGCAGAGGAGTGTGCCACTGATCAGGTGCAGTCAGCCCTCCCCATCTGTGGGTCTCGCATCCTCAAGCTCAAGTGTAGGTGGAAAATACTCAAAAAAAAAAAAAAAAAAAAAAAAGAGAAAGAAAGAAAGAAAGAAAAAGAAACCACAATAACAACAACAACAAAAGACAAATCTGTGCCAAGCATGTACAGACTTTTGTTCCTTGTTATTATTCCCTAGAAGATAAGCATAACAAGTGTTTATATTAGATTTACCCTGTATTCATTTTTTTAAAGATTTATTTTATTTTTATTTGAAAGGCAAAGTTTACACAGGGAAGGAGAAACAGAGATCTTCTAATTTCTGGTCCACTCCCCAAATAGCTCCAATGACTAACACTAAGCCAGTCCGATATCAGGAGCCAAGAGCCTCTTTCAAGTCTCCCATGTGGGTGAAAGAGGCACAAGCGCTTGATAGGTCGTATGCTGCTTTCCCAGGCACATTAATAGGAGTTAGACTGGAAATAGAGTAGCTGAGACTCAAGCCAGAACCCATATGGGATGTCTTTACCAGCCATACCACAAAGCCCCAGTCCCTGTATCAGGTATCCTATGTAACTTAGAGATAAGGACAAGTGTATAGAAGATGTGTTGTGGCTCTATGAAACTTCTATGTCATTTTCAATAAGCATCACTGGATTTTGCTATCTGTGAATGTCAAGGGACATTGTACTGCCTTGCCAAGGACCTGATTAGAATTCCAAGTATATCACAGATGCTCAATGCATGTAGTTTCTCTTCCTTTGCATCTTCACTTCTAGCCTCATCCTCTTTTCGTTCCTTTCCAAGGGGGCATGGGCACACACTGGAGGTAAAATGTCCCCGTATGAAGAAGTGATTACTAAAATGAGCCCCACAGCCTTCTGTGGCAGCAGGTCAAACAGCTCCTTGTGATACAACATTGGAAAGATGGTTCAGTTCCCAGCAGCTCTACTTCCACTCACGCTCTCTGCTAACCAATGCACTTGGGAAGGCAACAGAAGACAGGTCCTTACCAGGATCCCCATCACCCATGCAGGACACCAAGATGGAGTTTCTGACTCAAGGCTTCAGCTTGGTCCAAACCTGATTGCTGCAGCCACTTGGGAAGCGATCCAGTGAAGAGAAGATGCCTCTCTGTCACTCTGCTTCTCAAATAAATAAATAATAACTTCTAGAAAAAAACTCTTGACTGTTTTGCTGGTCATTAGGTGAAACTAAACTGAAACTTGCCAGCTCCACCAAGGGATGGGATGTCTCTGCTGTCATCCCAGTGAGGCAGTGGAAAGACGCCCACGGTGGTTCATCTACAGTTTGTATTAAATCTATTAGACCTAGACCCAAGCACAGAAAGATAATTCACATTATTCATCACATAAATTTGCTTAAATCCCCTCAGGGAGAAGATGGGCAAGCCACTGTGCTTAAAGCCAAGAGATGATGCATCCACTCTATGATTCAGCCTCAACAGCTGCAGTGTAAGAAAACACACACACACACACACACACACACACAGGGACTAACAATTTTTAGATGCACCCCTTGCTTCCTTTATTTAAGATGTGCGCTTCAATGTCATCATTTCCCTTCATTCAAAGAATCAGTCTTGACATTTCTCTGGACAGTTCTGGCCAGGTTTTAATTGACCCTCAAAGAAACAATGAACCCTGGAGATTCTGTATAGAGCACAGCAGTAGGTCTCCAGGACATACAATGTCACTGGGCATAGGGGAGGAAATAAAGTCGAAGGTAGGTTTGGACACACAACCCTGACTCTGGGCAGCAAAACAGGCACAGGGCTGGGACCGAGCAGAAAGACAGCAAGAAGGAGGCAAGATTCAGTTGATGCTGAAGGAGAGGCATAATGTAACAAGGCTGAGAGCTGGGGCAGAAGGAAGACAGGACTCCGGGAGGCTGGTATCCCTCAGCTACACAGCTGTCACAAGGCAAACATACCCTGAGCAGTGGACAACAGTCACTGGAGTCCCTGCGGAGGCAAAGAGACAAACAGCAAAACTGCTCTTGGAGAAGCACGTGGATTCAAAGAACAGATTCTTTTTATTATTATTATTATTAGAAAGGCAGAGCCACAGAGAAAAGGAGAAACAAAGATATTCCATCAACTGTTTCACTCCCCAAATGCCTTGATGGCCAGAGCTGAGCTAATCTGAAGCCAGGAGCCAAGATATTCTTCTGGGTCTCCCATGCCAGTGGAGGGTCCCAAGTCTTTGGGCCATCTTTTACTGCTTTTCCAGGCTACAAGCAGCCAGAACACAAACCAACACCCACATGGGATTCTGGCTGTTGAATTGGGAGCATTAGCCACTGAGCCACTGTGCCAGGCTCCAAGGAACAGATTCTGATGCTAGTGTATCTGGGTATTACTCCTGACTCCTCTACTTTGCAACTCCATGGCTTTGCAGAAGCTACGTAAGCCACAGAAGTGGTATCTATGTTGTGTATTCGTTTTTAGAGAAAACCAGCTGGACTGCACTTGCAAGTGACACTGCAAGGAAGGAAGCCACATGGAGCTCTCCATAGACAAGGTGGAACAAAGATCAGAGTTGTCCTAGGAGAAGGCACCCTCCTCACCATGACCCATCACCAAGGTCTGTCCTTGGTAGGTACAACGATCCCCAATAAAGAGAAGTGAGGACTCAAAGTGAAGGAGTGAAATTTCAAAACAGTTCTGGGAGTTCACCAAGGATAAAGACAGAACATTGACAATCTGTGCGACCAAGTGTTCCCTGGTGTTGCTTTTGCCATGATTTACAGAATAATGGTCACCCCATAGGAAAACGCACCTCACAGAGGATGACTGTGCATCCAGCAGCTGCTGCGTACATCCAGAGCAAGGAGCAACCAGGGCTGGGGCCCTGGATCTGGGCCACAAGCAAGACTGGAGGAACAAGTTGCAGCAAGAGTGGCAGAGCAGGCTGAAATGCTGGATGGGCAAGCTGCAAAGCTGCAGGGATTAGAACTCAGGAAGCAACTGGAATCTAGCTGTCCACCAATGAGGAGTCTCTTATGTCTTCAAGTTCTGGACCAAAGCAGCATTTTTATCTGGTAAGTATTAGAACATGCCACCTACCAGCAAGGTTTAGATGGGCCTGTTGAGGGAGGAAAGGTAGAGATGGAAAGAACAGCAGCAACTCCCTCTACCCACAAGAAAAGTCCAAATCATTCTCCCCTGAGAAGTGAACAGGACAACTTGGATACATGTCAATCACTATCCTTGATGACACAAAGGAAACAGCCTACACACCCAGGAGGCAGGGACAGGCTTGGGTGGCAACAGAACACTTCCTTCTCTGGAGTGTATTCACTGACTCCGCCAGTTTACCACTTGTTTATCCCGGGGGTCGGGGGGAACCCCATATGTATCACGCAATGAAGATGTCTACCACAACCACAGCAGTAAGTCCCTGGTGAAACAGTTCTCCCAGCACTACTCTGACGTGAGTCCAGTTTCAACAGCTCCAAGGCAAAAACATTCTGACAGCAAACTCCTCCCTGCTTCAGCCCAAGTCAATCCTTGTGCCACTTTCCCAACATCACAGGGACAGGCCAAGGAGAAGAGGGAAAGCCTAAAGCGAGAGAAGGCCACCACAGTCTCCCCAACAACCACAAGAACCACCAACCAGGCTGGACCCCAAAGCCTCAGGAGGCTCTCAGGAGAGCAATTTCAAAGCCTCAGATTTTAAACAGGGACAATCAATAACCCTCCCCCCGCAAAAAGTCACCAGTAACCAACTTCCTAAAATGTGCCCAAGGGTGGATGTGGGTAGCTCACTTTCCGGCCTGATGCAAACACAGAACTTACCCCATCCCAAGGAGAAGCAGCTTGGTCAAGATCTCCGAAGATGCCATCCGCGGGGGATGCTGAGGTCCTAGCTGAGGGACTAGACTTCAAAGCATCACAGCCATGGGACCAAGCCTCTTCCTCCTGGCTTTTGGGTCTAGATAGTCTGGCCTCGGTGCACAGAGGTTCTACCTGTAAGAGCACACAGGAAAACAGTGGGTTTTATGCTCATCTTTTATATACCTTCAGAGATTGCAAGATCATCTTCAGAAATATCACAAGCATGGAAAAAAAGTATCTCACCCTTACAGACATGCTTTACAAAACAGTATTTGGCACTGTACTGGTATTTCAAAAAAAAAAAGGTATCTATTTCAACACAATAGCAAAGGCTAGATTTCATTAAAGTCAGATGGCAAAAACTACCAAGTACCAAGGCCAACACCTGCTACCTCCCAGGGTGATCATTTATAGGACTCTGGATCAGAAACAGAGCAGGGGCCTGTAGCACAGAGGGTTAGGCTACTGCCTGCAATGCCAACATCCCATGTAAACACTAGTTCAAGCCCCACCTGTACCACTTCTGGTCTAGCTCCCTGCTAATGTGCCTGGGAACACAGAAGATGGCCCAAATGCTTGGGTCTCTACCCACATGAACGAGAGCTGGAGTTCCAGGCTCCTGTGTGGCTCAGCCCCTGCTGTGATGGACATCAGGGGAATGAACTAGCACATGTGAGGATCTCGCACCTTCTCTCTCCTCGGTCACTGCCTTCCTCTCTCTGGAACTCTGGTTTCTTTTTTAAGGAAAAATAATAACTCTGCAAAACAAAAAAAAAATTTTTAAAGAAATAGAGCAGGCATTTAAATCCAGACACCCTGAAACGATAAATGAGCATCTTAACTACTATGCCTCTATGGCTGCGCCTAGTATGGGCATTTTAATAAGCAATTATAGTCAATAATCAAAGAAGTGTTTACCAGACCCTGAATTAACTACAGTTTTGTGAAAATAACCTTGGTAGTGGTTATGCTTGTGATTCTAAGATACTGCAGGAGGGTCTGCGATTCAGCACAAGGTCTGGCAAATCCACACCCCGCCATTAAGGCAAATAAAACTTCCAGAAGTGGTGACCTCGTCCCCAATTGTTCTAGCAATTCAAAGCCATGCTAATACTTGTTTTCATACGACAGCATCAAAATAAACTGAAGAGGCGGTGTTGCAAAATGCTTATGAAAACTACGCCTCCTCCTCCTTCATTCTCATAAAATCTTCGGCTAGAACAAAACAGCACTACTGGGTCATCACGGACAGGCCAGACCAAGCACAGCTAAGCAATCTGTTTTCTGTAAAAATAACTCCATACTCGAGGCCTATTAACCACACAAAATGCAAAGCCAGGTTCTGTCCTTGGGTACAGCAGTGCATGACGTAAGCACAATATCATAAAGTAAATGAAGCCTTTTCCAACTTACAATCTTTTCCCATCCCCAGTCAGTCCTTTACAATACTGGATGCATAGATGAACTCTGCCACACATAATCCAAGATCTGGTCAATTAGCAAACCACAGCAAGAATGAATAACATAGGGTTGGACAATATCAAAAATGTCATATTCCTTTATGGAGGAATTTGAACCAATCAACCTCCCTGCTTAGCATCAAGTATAGCCACAGCACAAAAGGATCCAATTTGCACATATTTGCAAGTATTACAGATCCTAAGATCTAGAAACATTTTCTCAGAAAATGCAATGGTAACACAAAACGGACACATCCGCCATCTACCTCCAAATCAAATTCCCAAGCATGTAAATTTGAGAGTTTGCATTCATTGAAACAACCCACTACATTACACTTCAGTGTATGCCAAGTTTGGGGTTTTGCAATTCATTTCATTTCTACCAAAAAAGCAATAAGAGATTCTCCAGGAAAAATGAGACAAGAGTGAGAAACAAATCCTAGAAAGGTAAGACAAAAACTGCAGGGCAGAAATTCCCACTAGCTTGCCACCCATCAGTCATCTCCAATAGGATGAAACTAAACATACAACCTAGCATCCCCACTTTTCAGAGGGCAGGGAGAACAAATGGGAAACACCATTCCTGTTTATTTTACCGCAATAGCTTTTTATTGTCTGGAAGGAAGGCAGTGAGAGAGGTGGTGAGGTCAGAGGGACAGCAAAAAGGAGTAAGGGATAAAAACACTCCAGGTACTACATTGTACTAAGTGACTGCTCTAGGAACCTTAAATGAATATTTATACTGAACTTTTACAAGCTGGGGAAAAGAAAATTCGGAGAGGTTAAACAACTTTACTTAAAAAATAAATAAAGATTGACTTATTTTATGTGAAAGCAAGGGAAGACAGAATCTTCCAGCCACTGGTTCACTCCCAAAATGACAACAGCTAGGGGCTGAGACAGGTCAAAGTCAGGAATTAGGAGCTTCATCCAGATCTCCCACGTGGGTCACATTAGCAGGGAACTGCATCGCAAGTGGGGCAGTCAGACACTGGCTTCAGCACAAAGCCAGCTTCAAACCAACATTGGAAAAAGCTAGGATTCAAAACCAACATTGGATCTACGGCCATACACTTGGAAAGGAGTTGTTCTGAAAGATCTTACAATGTTCTGTCTTAGGCATTAAATATGTATCAAAATGAAACACCTTTCTCCAGCCTTTAGAGCCAATTTGCTGTGCTCACAAACAAGGTAAATCTGTACTGTCAAGTGGGTTGTAAATACCTACAATTCACATTAAATTACCAGCAATTTCACGCAAATTCTAGTTATTTGTTTCCAAAACAATTTCCTAGGGTGTGTAACAATTAACATACAAGACCTGCCTGAGAACAACTGGATTGCATGGGATGCTCTGGGAACAGAAGGTTATGTGGAAATAAAACTGAAAAGTCATACTCTATGTGGAAGACTCAAGGGACTCGGTTGCATTTTCGCAAGGGCCCTCCTGAGACTTTCTTTGACAGAGTTCCACAGGGCAGAATTCCTGAAAACATCTATGAATCCCAGAGAGGAGGTGGAGGGACATTTGTGTTCCAATTTAAAACACAAAGAGGAGAAAAAGCTGGTTTTTCTACAAGACCAACAAATTGGGCAACGCATCAGCAATGCTATCAAGAAGAGTCACCAACAATCAAAGGCAGGAATGAAAAAGAAAGAATGTCACAGATGCTGCAGTTTGGGAAAAAAAAAAAAAAAAAACAAAAAGGATCCTCGCTTCTCGGCCTTTTGGCTAAGACCAAGTGTAAAAAAAAAAGGATCAGATGTACAAGTTCATACCAATAAGTATTAAAATAACATGAAAGAAGAAAATTCTTCTAAAAATTAGTCACCAGATCAAGACAAATTTTAGTGGTTCTTTATCTCTTAAACAAATCTACAATTAAAAAAGAAAAAGACACAACAGCCAGAGTGAAAGCAGGTTGTTTCCTGGATGAGAGGAGAATCACAGGGAAACAACGATCCAGAAATATCAGAAATGTCATTCTCAAATCAGTGTGGTCACAGAGCAGACTTAGTCCCGGTTTCCAATGTCCGCATGAAGTCTAACAGTCCTTGCCACGCCACCTAAGAACCTTCACCGCATGAATCACGAATCCCTTTCTCTGGTTAATGTCTATTGTCCCATTAAAAAAAAAAAAAAAAACCATCCATTACTCAGTTTCACCAACACTACCACAAGATACAATTGGGTTGTCTTTCCTGTTGAGTGAGTTACAGGAGCAGGGAGTGGAAAGCCACATGCCTTCTGTCAGCATCAAGTTCATGTCTCCCTGGCCAGTCCTTTCTTGAACCCCAAAGGAGCTAGTACTCAGGACTCTGGCAGGTAAGCCAGCTGAGTCCTAAAGCCTGCTTTCTTCTCTGGAATATGTCTGGTTTCGTTTAAAAGTAATTTCCTTTACATTCACATCTGTCACTCAAAAAAAAAAAAAAAGCCAGAGAACTCAGCAAACTCAGGACCCAGGCCCCTGACCCCCAAGGCTCAAGTGCAGGCATGCTGTAAAAGCCAGGCTCGTCCACTCTGCGAGCAGGAACACGAGAAAACAGCTACTCCCTCCTCACTCCACTCACCCCAGTAATGGGAGAATCACTTGCCAACGGAATAAAATTGGGTTTGCACTAACAGAATGAGAACCACAAATTTCTTTACCTGCCTCTCTGTCCCTCAAAGTAAGAACAATTCTCTTAAAATTCTTAGGAAGCATTCCCCTACATACACACACAGACAGGTACACAGACAGGCGCGCACACACACACGCGTGCGCACGCACACACGCGTGCGCGCACACACCCCTCCTCCTGCTGTTGCATTCCTGAGCTGATCAGACAAGAAATGAGTGTGAAACAGGTTGAGAGTGAACCCAAGGCTGCCATCTGACTCCCATGCAGTGAGCAAAACATCTCACTTCAAAGAAAAAGCCATTCATTGCCAAGCTCAAAATAAAAGCTGAAGAATATTTCTGAAAGTCCCCACTTGGGTCAAGCTCACTGTCTCCTGGGAAAGACCAAAATGTTTCTTTGCAATGAATCCTAACACCCCCAACCGCCACCCCGTGCCACCTTCCACCCAAACTTCCTCTCCTCACCGCACCCAAAATTGACTTGGGCAATCAGTCAGAAGACAGAGCAACTGCCCCAGAATGACTGACACTTACAAGACGACTCCAGATAAACAAGTAACACCTCCACAGCCGGGAAGCATGAAGCAGAGCTAACCCACCATAAGCGAAAAATTCACAAAAAAACGGAACCGTTCCCCTGCCTAGCTCCAGTGCTGTTATCCAGGTGCCTGCCAGGCGCCACCGCTTCACAATCCTCCTCCCAACTTTTTTCTCACTTGAATCCCAAGTGGTTCGGGCTTCACTTCCAACCACGCTGACCTGTAATTACACGAAGCACAGAGAGACAGCCCTGGGCAAGGCGCATCTTCTGCAGGGTACGGGATCCTTAGGGACCCATCCAAGGATCTTCAGGGAACCAAGAAGAGGCACTTTCTAAGCCGGAACCCCCCTCATCTGGCGTCCTGGGCAGCAGCTCAGCCAGCCCCGCGCAGCAGCACCGGGGGCGCAGCATAGAGACGCGCGCACGCGCTCACTCCTCCGGGGCTAGGGGCTCCAAGGAGCTCGGATTCCGGGGCCCAGCCTCAGCGCCCAGGGCTAGCTCGGCCCCAGTTCCCGAGCCTGGGCAGCTGCTCCCCTAGACCACCCAACACCACGATTCTCTGGGAGGCAAAAATGGAGTTGGGAAAAAAAAAAAAAAAAAAAGAAAGAAAGAAAATCAAAGCTCACCACTGCTCAGCAAGCCGCACATGTCTCTCCCTCCTGGCTTCAGGGATCTCGAACTTCCAGTAACAGAAATGAGGAAGCCACAGCACCCTTCCTGGGCTGCAGTGGGTGTGACTTGAAGTTTCCTGCACTGATGAATCTGGTCGACCGGGTTTGCAGGAGCGGGCTGGTCGCTCCTCCCTCTCCTCCACTCCACCTCTCTCCTCCCCGCCTCCATTGCCAGGGTAACTCCCCCAAACCTCCGCCCCCTCACTGGGCTTCACCGGGCTCTGTCACTGGGAGGCCCAGCACTCTACTCAGAGCATCCCTGCGGGAAATTTGTTTCCAACAGGTCTGAACCATTCTACATAGGAACCTGCCTGATTAGCACAAAATACACCCTCTGTCATTTTGTGGACTTTCTTTGAGGCCGTGGCAAGAAAGTAGGGCTTAAAGGACTCCAAAGCCTAGAAGTCTTAAGCACCCCTCTGCCCTACCCTGTCACAGGGAGGAAAGGAGACCCCAATTTTTAAAAATCTATATATACAGTAAGACATTCATAAGGACAGAACTGAACTGTCTTTAAAACCTAATACAAAATTATTTTTTTTTATTTAGAAGACTTTTATAGAGACAAGGAAATACATAGAGAGAGAGAGAGAGAGAGAGAGAGAGAGAGATCTTCCATCCTACAGCTGTAATGGCCAGAGCTGAATCAATCTGTAGCCACGAGCCAGGAGCTTATGCTGGGTCTCCCATGCAGGTGCAGGGTTCCAAGGCTTTGGGCCATTCTCTACTTCTTTCCCAGGCCATAAACTGGGAGCTGGACAGGAAGTGGAGCACTCAGGACATGAACCGGCCCCCATATGGGACCTGGGTACATGCAAAGGCAAGCATGTAACAACTGAGCCATTGTGCCAGGCCCATGAGATTCTTCAGATGCACAAAAACACATTAGAGGAGCCAGTGCTCTGAAGAGTGGGTTAAGCCACTGCTGGCTGACTGGAGATCTAGCTGCTCCTCCTCTGATCCAGATCCCTGCTCATGTGCTGGAAAAGCAGCAGAAGATGGCCCCAGTCCCTAGGCCCCTGCAGCCACATGGGAGGCCCAGAAGAAACGCGTGGATCCTGGCTTTCACCTAGTCTAGTCCTGGCTTTTGTTGCCATTTAGAGAGTGAGCTGCTGGAAGATCTCTCTCACTTTCTCTCTCTCTCTCTTTCATACTCACACATACACACACACAATCTGTAAGTCAGCCTTTCATATAAATAAATCTTTAGAAATATATATTTGAAAATAGTATAATAAGCACCCAAATGCCCATTATGCTATATTTTAAAAATGAAAAACCAAAACTGGCAACACAGAGGTAAGCATTTGGCCCAGAGTTTAAGACACCACTTGGAATGACTGCATCCTGTATCTGAGTTCTAAGTCTTGGCTCTGCTTCCAGTGCTACTTTCTTGCTAATGTACATCCAAGAGGCAGCACTGATGGCTCAAACAACTGGGTACCCGCCACCCACATAGGGGACCTGGGTCGGGTTCCCGAGTTCAGGACTCCTGCCTTGGACCTGGCCTGGCCCAACACCACCCGCTGTGGGTGTTTGGGGGTGAAGATTGATTTCTACCACTATCTGTTTCTCTTTCAAAAAATAAATTACAAGTATATTTTAATTGGCTCATAAATGAATACAAACATAGCTGAAGTTATCTGTAAACTTAAAACATTTCCTCCTCTTCTTGCTGCTCCTTTAAAAAAAAAAAAACTGCCATATATCTAATTTCACATGAGCCATTTTTAAACCAGTTTCTAACAACGTAAAGAAAACATGCTCACTTCAAGTTCACAAGAAAGTAACTCAAGTAACGTACCTCTGCTGGACTTGGCTTTACTCATTAAACAAACCTTGAAGGTTACATAAAGCCTCAGGTGGCCAGACAAAGAAAATGAAAGAAATCTAGAGTGACAAATGAGAGGCTATCTCTGAGATGGCTGAAGCATTCATGGATGAAACGGATTATTAGAACATTAACATTTCAGAAGGTGAACACTGTACCAAAATAGTGTAGAAGGAGAGTGACCCACACCGCAAGGGGCTTTCCTCAAAGATATAGCCTACAAATAAAGAAACATTACATTCATTAAAGAAGTCATACTGACTCAAAAGACAAGTAGCGTCACAGGCTGGGAGCAAACACTCAAGAAAGGGAACTCTCAGGATAGTCATGGTAAGAACTGGTAGGTTAGAAACCATGAGACATCCACGGACTGGACTCAAATGCAGATTCAAGTACCAAGGAGGAGATATCTAGTTCACCCTTCCATTCTTGGAAACATGCTGCTGTACACAAGGCTGCTGTACAGAGATGCTAAGGAATTATTTAATACATGAATAAAGTGAAAGAGAGGCTTCATAGCATGTCGGAAGGAATAGGACAAAAATAGTGATTGGCCAAAGAGGAGGCCCCTAGCAGAAGTGACTCTTCCCACATGGGGACACGTGGCACAATCTGCAGCCATGGGTGTATGGTGCTAACAACTCAGGGGCCACTAGTGGCATGCAGTGGGTGGAAGTCATGGGTGCCACCCCAAAGCCTACAAAGCACAGCACAGCCTCACAGCCAAGCACGATCTATCCCACAGTGCCATGGCCGCTGGAGAAACCCTGAGATGCAGGTTTCATCATCAACTCTCATTTCACAGATCTATTCACAGTGTCATCAATCTTTTTTTTTTTAAGATTTATTTTTATTATAAAATCAGATATACAGAGAGGAGGAGAGACAGAGAGGAAGATCTTCCGTCCAATGATTCACTCCCCAAGTGACCGCAATGACCCAAAGCCAGGAGCCAGGAACTTCTTCCAGGTATCCCACGTGGGTGCAGGGTCCCAAGGCTTTGGGCTATCCTCGACTGCTTTCCCAGACCACAAGCAGGGAGCTGGATGGGAAGTGGAGCTGCCGGGATTAGAACCGGTGCCCATATGAGATCCTGGCGCGTTCAAGGCGAGGACTTTAGCCGCTAGGCCACACCACCGGGCCCATCAGTGTCATCAATCTTATGAACACATTCCCCAGGGACCTAAAACATAGGGAAACTCATTTCTCCTCTTTTTCCACCAAGCTGTCTGCGAAGCTTCTGTGTTGGCTCAGAACCCCGGGGGGGTGGGGTGAGGGGAGGGCAGTGTGTGTTGAGGTCAGAAGCAGTAGAGCATTCAAGGATTTAGGGCTCAGCCTCCTACCCATGTATTCCTTAAGTGAATGACTGATAGGGGATGCAGGTGAAAACAATGAAGAAAGGAGTGGGAGGAGGAAGACCTGGAAGGCCCGGGTATTAACCGTAGCACTGAAGATGGCATTGTAGGAAGGGTGTGCAGAGAGAGATGTGAAGAGACAATGACAGAAGCAGGCGTATCACGGGCCATCAGTCATGTATCTATTGACAATCATGAGCTGGAGCTGGAAATACTCCACTCCCAACAGGAAGGAAGGAAAGACATGCCATCTCATTACAGCTTATGGAACAGAACATGACAAGCCCCTCACAGGAAAACAAATGCAAAGGCTGCCATGAGAGCTGTGCTTACAAAGGGCTTTTCCGGTCCCACTGTCGCCTAAGAAGTATTCTTTGAGCTCAGGGATGCTATGCACAGCTTCTTTTTGGTACTGATGCGTGCTTGGAGGGAGAACAGCCTGCTGTGGCTGCTCAGCGTTCCTCAAAAGACAGCACAGGACGGGACTCCTGAGGCAGGATAGACGGCGAACGCTTACAAGAATAAAAGGAGCCCAATCAGACCCCACCTCCCTGCCCACTCCTTCGGCCCGCAAACAGAGCATCCTCTAGCTGTTCTCAAGTTCAACAGCCTCAGCAATCCATGAGTACACAATGAACATAGAAAACCTGCCGCTTTCATTCAGTGCTTGACACAGTTCAGCAGATCTGGACACACAAGTCAGCATGACACAGGTCAAACTCACCGACATCCCAACCCGTAGGCACCCAATGTGTTCCTACAGCGAAGCCGTGGTGTCCTTCTGCCCAGGGGAGAATGGCAAAATAGGGGTACCCCATGAGCCACTAGACAAATGGGCAACAAGACCTTCTTCTCCTCTTTAACCAAAAACCTCTCAAGCTGTAGTCCTAAAAGCTACTAGTTTGTTTTTAAGATTATGAAAATGTGACTGCTACTGAATCCCTCCCAAAGCAATGAACTTGGGCATGAATGCAAAATGTTCCTACACAAAGCAATGCAACCAGTAGAGGGAGCACAACTGATTTGTTCTTCAATTTCTCCAGACCAGGGGATGATGCTACATGATACAGGTCTCAAAAACAATCACAGAAAATGGATTTATGTGAAAATATTTTTGAAAACCTAGAAACCCCTATCAAGCATTTACACCATTAGTGGATATTGACATAAGAGTGAACTAAACAGATAGAAGACAGCTTCAATAACAAACCCATGCAGCAAAACAACACTTGGTATGTCAAGAGGTCACAAAGAGTTAAATCCCTCTCTTGCCCTTGGTGAGATGAATTTAAACTCAGAAGCTAAACACTACATGGAGTTTATTTAGGCTTATTTTGCCCAAATATTTTTTTTTAGATTTATTTGTTTATTGGAAAGTCAGATATACAGAGAGGAGGAGAGACAGAGAGGAAGATCTTCCGTCTAATGATTCACTCCCCAAGTGGTCGCAACGGCCGATGCTATGCCAATCCGAAGCAAGGAGCCAGGAACTTCTTCCAGGTATCCCACGTGGGTGCAGGGTCCCAAGGCTTTTGACCATCCTTGACTGCTTTCCCAGACCACAAGCAGGGAGCTGGATGGGAAGTGGAGCTGCCAGGATTAGAAACCGGTGCCCATATGGGATCCTGGCGGCATTCAAGGTGAGGACTTTAGCTGTTAGGCCACACCAGCGGGCCCTGCCCAAATATTTTTAATTTAGTCTTTCACTTGCTATTTTATATACCACATCTACCACAGCTACCCCGCCTCCCGTCATCAAAACTTTTTCACTGGATAGGGAGTAACAGAGAGAGGGAGAGAGACAGAAAGTATATGGAGAAAGGAGAGATCATCTGCCTGCTAGAAACAACGGCTGAGTTTAAGCCAGGCTGAATCTAG